CTTAGATGTTTGATGGCCCAGTATAAAATCATGGTGACCGTCGTCAGGAGGCTAATCCAGAGGTCATACCTTCCTAATGGACACTGGTGGGGGTTTGGCCGATAGCTGTCCTCCCCTGCAGAGGTCGCTGTAGAAGGGAAACACTGACCAATCACTTTGTAGCACCGTCAGGTTTAGAAGCACGTGGATTGGTACATTAATAACTCCCCTACGCAGTGGAAATTGTTTCCTCCACACGACTCATCCTATCCTACTTCCTTTTTTTTTTGTTTAGCTCTATTGAGGTGAAATTGATGAGTAAAATTGTGACATGTACTCGTATTTCTCTTTAAGAGGCAGTACGTCCTCTGGCTGCAAACCCACCCAGCTCACTTAATGAACCCAGAATGAAGGGTTAATTAAGAAATGTCTTCGTATCAATATCCCTGAATTTTAGATGTAGTCACAATACCAAGTGTCACGGGCTCAATAGAAACCAGTTAGATCGTATTTTCATGGTACAGAAGCTCTGGAACAAAGGAAAGGGCAGAAAGTGAAAACACAAGGACACAAACAAACAGTGGCTCCTGACGTGTGCCTGGAAGGCGGCACCAGCCATTGCACCCCACCCCACGTCACTGCTGCCTGCCCCTTGCCTGCACTCTGGAGGGTGACCCACTGCTTGTCCAGCAGCTCAGACCAGACTGGAGGTGGTGGGTCCTCAGGTGACAGTCCCCAGGGGGCCGTCCGGCTGGTGCACAGGGTTCCAGGGCTCCCTGGAGAATCTGCAGCCCAAGAGAGAAGCAGAAGCACAGAGGTAGACAACACAGAGATGTGAGCCACTCGGGAGGCGAGAATCGGGGACGGGAGGCAGAGTGGCCCCCTCATGCTTTAGAATCTCATAAGATGCCTGCACTTTAAGCCAAAAGAGATGAATAATAAACAACTAATATGATAAGAGCAATAGAATAATAGTAAAACCGGCGCCCGCATACCACACAGGAATTTTAGCTACTGTTAATATTACCCATATTTGCTTCGGGTTTTTAAAATACATACGTATGCTCTGTTAACCTAGGGTAGAGTTTTGTGTTTTAATAATTAATCTAAATAGCACAATGAGAGTCACTTCCTGTGACGTGTTTGCCTCCCTCTCAACATGATGCTGAAGCTCTAGTCAGTTCATCCGCACATGAGTTCCTCGCGGGGCTAGCGCACGATTGGTTTATCCATTCCCCTGTTTATCTCTTCCTCTATCATTCATTCCCCTGTTGACAGCTGTGTCCAGGATTTTGCTGTTACCAAGTGAAGTGACATTCTTTGTGCGTTTATGTACGCTTTTTCATGAACAAGTGAAAGTTCACTTCAGACTTCACAGCGATTCTGAGAACAAACTCAGGTGGAGGTGATGCAGGGGGTGCCCTCGGAATCACTCCTTGCAGGGGAATGGGGAACAGGTAGGACAGAGGGGCAAGGGGGCTGCCTGGCAGTCTCCCAAAAGGTTCAGCAAGCATGGTCACGCCCCAAAGTTGGTAGCATTTTGACAAAGAGACCACACTTCTGAAGTCGGAAGATGCTCAGTAAAGGCTGTTGAATTGAGCCGATCGGCCACCTGACCGGATCCCAAGGCACCTGCGTTGTCCTCCCTGGCTGTCACCCCCGAGGGAGGGCAGCATCTCCTCCTGAGAGAGCGGGGAGCCAGCCTGTTGTAGTTTCTGCAGCACCAGCTAGCGGCCCCTCTGGAATTTTAATTGCTCCCTCAGGATTCAGCAGCAGCTCCCAGAAATGTCACTGAGCCCTGAATGGCTAACGGAATAACTGATATTGTCAATTTACCTTCCAGCGGTGAGACAAGCCCTTTATTCTTTAGGGGGAAGCAAAAATAGCCTGGTTTCCTGGGGTACGTGAGCCCGAGAAGAAGGCAGACGAGGACTGGGTTGTGACAGACGCGCTGTCTGCGGTCCCTCACTAAACACGGCACCGGGCTAGAACCGGGAACGTGGGTCTCAGACTCGCCAGTTTCTGCTGTCGTGTAAACACGAAAGGGAGACTGCCCTGGGCACCGCCCGTGATTGGTGACCTGAGCGATGGGCCACGCATAATCAGAGGACGAGGAGGTCAGCGATGGAAACTCACCGCTGCAAAACGGGAAGAGCTTTGCAGACTGCAGTCTCTCTCTGCACATGGAAATACAGTGACTGCTCCATTAACAGAAGTGACAGTCAAAGGCAACCTGGGTACCAGGTGCCGCCCCCTTTTCAGGACGGGGCCTCCTTTGCATAGAGGGGTGTCCCTGCTTTTCCATCCTGCTCTTCACACCCGAGCTGCTACCCTCCTCCAAACCTGGTGTGTCTTGGATTCAAGAACCCTTTGTATGCAAAGGTCTTTCCCAGGCTTACCCTGTGTGCTGCCACCCCCACAGCAGGAGGCAAGGAGCCAGGTCTCCCTTGCTGTCAGAACCCCATTTCCTGTCTGCAAAGTGGACCCAGCACCTGTCATACCTGCCTCACCAGTTCTGCTGACATGAGAGGTGGAAGGGAACCGTCAAGTATTTTGAAACCATAGAGCTTAATGCTAGCACCATACCTCCAGGTTGGGTTGTTGTTGTTGTTTGAGGGTGTGGGGCATTGACTTATAAGCGCCTGTGTCCTACAGCCAATAATATATGCCTAAACATTAGGTTTAACTGGAATTTGTTGCTAGGCCTCTTGCAAACCCTTCAGGGCTCATATCCACATTCAAATGTTTGAAGGCGAACTGTGGCTGTACGTTAGGGAGCTGGAGGGGGCAGAAGCTGCCTCTTTTGGGGAAGCTCACCGTCTGCTGAGATCCGGGCTAGGAGCGAGGCATGGAGGGTCCCAGAGTGGCGCCTGCGTTGGGAGGTCATGGTCCTGGGGGTGCAGCCCCTGTACAAGCCTCATTTGCAGCCCAGTGTGTTATCACTCGAGAGTAGAGCACAAGGCAGCATTTCCTTTCTGTCGCGCGTATCACAGAACACTAACTGGTCCTCTGAGGGGATCTGGGGGCGGGAGCCGGGCGGGGTCGGAGGTCACATGTCAATATGTTTAGGCCAGTGTCTGTCAACCTCAGTACCATGACCTTTCAGCCAAACAACTCCTGGTTGTGGGGACTGTCCTGGCGAGCTGTAGGACGTTAGCAGCGCCTCCACTCTACTCACTAGATGTCTGTAGAGTGCCCTTCCCCACCAGCCCCACCTTTAACAACTAAAACCGTCTCCAGACACCCCAGATGGCCCCTGGGGGGCGTTCCCTCAGAGAGCCTCAGCGACTCATGGGGTAGGTTTCCACTGATCTCCTCAGAGTCTTACAAAGGCCGTTTGCTCGGCATCTGCTGAACTGCTTTGCCTACGGAACCGTGTGCCCACTTCCTATCTGTTAGCATTCCTTGGACTTCGGGTTGTAGGAAATGCGCCTTGAAAAAGCCTGGCTGAAGGCGTAGTCCATCCTCCGGTAAGGGTCATGATGGGGGTCTGCACTGTGACCTTCCCGGGGTGGAAACCTGGGAGGAAGCCCCCCAATCCTGGTGGGACCCTGATGTGCCACCCTACCCCCTGGTTCTCTTCTCTGACTGCAAATCCCCTTGGGGGCACTTCCTACTCCTTTTGCCTCTTTTAAGGCTTCAATTGTCGTCCTAAAGGCGCTGTTTCACCTGTAAAACAATGTCCCAATCCCCACGGACAGCCTCTATCTACTAAGGGGCGATGCTGAAATTGTTTAACGTCGCCCCACCAGGCGCTGTCCTGCACAGGCTCGCACACTGGTGTGTCTCAGCGGGATCTTCATGGGCAGTGTCAAAAGACTCCCCTTTCTCCCGTAGAGCTGGGGGCCTGGGAAAAAGGAGGTTTGAGGTTGACAAGTTGTTCTACTCGGTCAAATGCACTTTTTCTGCCCTCCACAAAGCATCCGGAAAGCCAGATGCATGCCCGTGAATATTTATGGTCTCACAGCTTCTTCCATTAATAATTCATCACACGTAGTGATGTCTACCCATCACCCGGGCCTCACAGGCAAGGAGAAGGGACAGGTCCCCCTCCCCCACCCCCTGGAAGTCCCTGAGCCCAAAGCGGACAGATGGGGAGCCACATGCCTTGTTTGGATCACCCTGTGAGAGATAATGACACACACTTTGTTGGAATTTTCTACAACGGGCCTTTATTACTTGACTAAATCGTGGGGGGCAACCATTAAGAAGAAAACGTCGCTTTTCCAGCCAAACTTCTCAGAGGAGCATTTGGCTTATTTTGTTATCATGGGGTCAAATACTGTTGCGAAAGGAGTCTGTTAAACACACCAGGAAGCTTTTGGCTTCATACAAGTCAGCTTTGTCTTCAGCTCACAGAGCTCTTGAAACTACAGACACCTTTGCTTCTGATTGATTATGCATTATAGTCATTGCAAGAGTGTCAGAAAATATTAAAATGTTAAGAGAAAAAGTCACCCGTAACCCTAAGCATCATTTGTGTCTCGCTTTATAACTTTCCAGGATATACTAAACTGGAGAGTTATGTAAACGAGTACTTAAAAACCAAAGTGGTATTGTATAATACTATAAGGTCTTGACTTATAAATTTCTTTCGGTAGAAATATATCGTAGTCCTCACCTCCTATAACTAACATCCACACACAATATTATGGCTTCGTGGTACTCCATTGTGCGTATTATTCTGTGGCGTCTTATCAAATCTGCTACTGATTGATATTAACCTTGCTTCTACTTATTTCTATTATTTAAAAAACACTGTGGGGCCGGCCGAGTGGCTCAGTTGGTTAACAGCTCGCTCAAGAGTGTGAGCTCTGAGCAACAGTGGTTGGATGCCTGGCCTGAGCTGAGCAGCCGCTGAGCTGCCAACAGGTGGCAGGATGGCTCAGCTAAAAAAAAAAATAAATAAATAAAATAAATAAATAAAAAACTGTGGCGAGCCCTCTTGTATCACCGTGTCTTGTGACTGGTTTGCTTCCTTCCCCACCCCCTGTCCTGATGGAGACTGTCTGTGTCCACAGGTGTGGCCTTCCTGCCGTTCTCCGTCTCTCCCGTGGGTGAGCAGCAGGTGATGGCGTCACTGGTTATTGTACCGAAAGGTTGTGTTTTTTGCTGCACTGTTACGACTCAGGCAGAAGCGGTAAGAATGGACTGCAGGGTAGCCACGCCCAGACCCATTCACTGTGGGCTGGGTGGCCTGCTCATAGAAACAATTGGGAAATTGTCCTGTGGGGACCTCCAGCAGCCTCTGTGGTGGGATGTTTTGAATTTAGGGACTTGCGAGCTTTGGAGCCCAGCCTGTCAACTCTGCATTTTGATGTTGTGTTGAAATACAAGAATGTTTTCCTGAAGTTGGTGGCCATTCAGGTCGTTTTCTCAAGGACTTACATCACAGAGAGGGTCAGAGCCTTCAGCAGCAGGAGTGCACAGGACAGGGTCATCCCCTGCCCAGGACAAGCCTCGAACACGGGTCCTGCTGTCACTGCTCCTTCCTGCTGCTGCAGCTCTGTGTCCATCTGCTGTCCCCCTGTGGACACTGACCTCCCTGACTGCTTGGGTCACAGCTAACGCCAGGCTGTGGGTTCACCAACCCTTCTTTGGGGGCTTTCCTTTCCTCCAATGTAATTCTCTTGAAAAGTAGATCGCATCACGGCCTCTCAAGTCCATCGGCCGTGTACCTTCCGCCACAGGGTTCCTGACAGAGGGACATCCTGGCTTGTTTTCATACGTTGGGGTGTCCCTGTCTGCAAGTCCCCTCCATCCCTCCATTCTTCTCCCAGCCCTCAACCTGGGAAGCAGTTGGGGGTTAGGGCGTCCATATAAGAATCTGTGTGTTGGGGGCCGGCCGAGTGGTGCTGATGGTTAAGAGATGGCTTGGGACGCCAGAGGGCCCTGGTTCGGATCCCACATATGAGGGCCAGCGACACTGCCCTCTACAGCTAAGATGCTGAACACCAGCTCAACCTGGAGCTGGGCTGCCCTGAGTTGCCGGCGACAGCGTAGGCTGAAGCCTCTGCTGCAGTGGGTTGCCATGGGCTACCGTGTGTAGCCAGTGGCCAGCGTGAGCGGCCGTCCAGAAGCCGGCGACTGATCTGCCTCACCTGGGAAGAGCGCAATGATGGTGCCAACTTGAGCCAGCGAAGCAACGTCCTCCACAACTAGACTGAAGAACAAAAGGACAGCAACTTGTCTGTTCCCCACCCCCCAGTTCCCCAATAAAAATCTTAAAAAAAAAAAAAGAATCTGTGTGTTGTGGGGAGGGAGGCATACACACATTCAGCCCATAACACTGTGATTGCACCTTAGAAAAAAATTCGGAAACAGAATTCACACAGAGTAGAGGATATAGGTACAGGTGAGATGGAGGACAAGGTTTCCTTGCATAAAATTTGATTTTTGTCTTTCCTTAGAACCGCCCCAGTGACTAAGTTTTATTTTACTTTTTTAAAACGATAGTTTATTGTGTTTTAAAGACCCACGTGCAGACGTGACTGGTTCAAAACAACAAACCCTCAATTTTTGAGACAAGGACTCCCTGTGCTAACGTCCCTGGGTAGGAGTCCCGTAGCTCTGGAACGTTATGCGCAGGGCAGGTGGTAAGCTGTTGGTGCAGACAATGCATCTGTCACCCATGCCACAATCTGTAATCAGGACCTCGGTGAGCAAGTCCGCCTTCCATGGGTGGAGGAGTTACCTAGGGTCCAGTGCTTTGGGCACAAACACAGTCTGTGCCGTATTGATGGCAGTTCTAGGACCTGGAAGAAGGTACTCCAAGAACAGGGGACATTGGGCTCCAACAGCCACGTAGAACTAGGGGCTGGGCTCCCTTTATCACGCCAGGGCTGGGGTCTGGCTGCCCACCGTCACGAGGGACATGACGTTAGAGCTCGTTAAAACCAGGATGACTTTCTTGGAGTCAGTCGCACTGATGTTGGCACAGCCTGAATGCCAACACCTGTATTGTGTTCCCAGGGGGCCAGCAGTGCGCTCCAAACAGCTGGGTCAGAAGGGACTCGGGCTGTTTCCAGGACCGACTTCATGCCTCTAACTTCTTTCCCTTTGTGCCTTGCGGCATGGGATGAGGAATCCCTTCCTACGTTCCTCCTGGACAGCCTGGTATGCCTTCCGCGGTGCCGACAGCTTTATTACAACTATTTTATTGTCTGCTTTTCTTATAAGCTTCCTGAAAACCTTCCAAGGACCAACGAGGGAAACGATGATATATATTTTTTTCTTTCTGCAAACTTAAGACTGCAATTAAAGCACAGAGCCATGGCTAGGGTGGCAAGCGAAATAGGTTTATTATTTTTTAAAGTGGTCGGTGTACCCTGGGGAGGAAATACCAGCTCAGGCTAGACTCTCCCCTTCACAAGGCATTCATATCAGAGAGCTTCTTTATTTTACAGACGGAGATACACAATTTTCAGAACTTCGTCACCCCAGAAACGTCCCCTTTGGGATTCTGGCTGCACAGAGCGGAGAGCAAACGCAGTGTTTGTGAGTCAAGGACCAAAGCAGCGCGCTTTAAGGCTCCGTGTGATCCAGGAAAGGGAGGCAAAGGAGGAAGGGTATCAGCACTAAAGGGTGCCTAGTTTCTGCTGTCAAAACCTTCCAGAGAATGTGTCCCCCCCACCCCCAGCACCTTTAGCACGATGCTGCTCAGACGCCTACACATTTTTTTTTTTTGGCTGAGCCATCCTGCCACCGGTTGGCAGCTCAGCAGCAGCTCAGCTCGGGCCAGGAATCGAACTGGCGACCCTGTTGCTCAGAGCTCGCACTCTTGAGCGAGCTCTTAACCAACTGAGCCACTCGGCTGGCCCCAGACACCTACACTCTTGCAATGAACAGAACAGAAGTGTGGCTTCTCAGACCTTGGTTCTGATTATTAAATACAAAAGTCACGTGACTGCAGGTCTGCTGTGAACCAGGTCATGTGAGTGAAAATGCTGCCAGGCCACTGACTCCGCTGTGGTCACATGACCCCCAACGAGGGACTGTTTTAGCCAAATAAAGGACAATGCGGCATTTGTCGTACTTAGGACGCCCTTAACTTGATCACTGAGTGCAGCTGCTGGACTTCTGTGAAAATGAAAACCATCGTGTTTTTCATCAATATATTCTGTTTTTAAACTGATCTAAAGTTCCTCCAATATTGTTGAAGGGCACTAAATGTCACTGAATAACCGTGGGCTCATGGGACCGTGTCTCTCTACTTTGCAGGCAAAGCAATTCTCTTTCGTTGTCACTGAGTCCAGTTTCCAGGAAATCATTTAACTGGAACTGAAGAACATGGTTTCCACTCATGCTCCTTACAAGCAAAAATAACTCTGACTAACACTTATAAAAGTGGGTGCCTTTACCATCTGAGCTTTCTAAGGTGTGGGTACATTTGGCCCTCATGTTACAGAAGGAACATTATGCATATTCCTAGATGGGAAACCGTGTTTAATTCACTGATAGAATGTGTGTCTCTATCGTTTAGGACAAAAACAAGTCTCTCCGGGGGGTGTCTGGAGCAGGCAGCCCCGCTGAGAGGCAGGCCTGGGCTCTGTCCTGTGACGCCTGTGAGAGCCTGAGCTGGCTAGCAGTGATAGATGCTCCTAACGCCTTCGGGAAATCGCAGTGCTGCTAAATTAATCAGAAAGCTGCAGGTTGTAGAAAAGTAAGCTCTGAAGAAAAACCATCTTGATTTTTAGTCCCTGTGCTGGGTAAGGTGGCACTCAGCTGGGGGTCCTCTCAGTCTTAGATTCTGTGTTTATTCCTCTGCTTCTTCCAGAAGAGAGTCAAGGCCGGAGGGGAAACCCCGTGTGAATTAAGAAGGCTCCATCCTGGAGAGCAATGGCTGCTGGAGGATTTGCACAGCACGGTGGCACCCTGGCTGGAACCCCCTGCCCACAGGCCACAGACACAGGAGTCGGTGAACCCCCTGACTGAAGGCTTAAAGGCCCTGACTCACTTTGCAGAGGTAGGGAGACACCCCGCTATGCTAAGGAGTGATAAGGGGTGGATGGATTAAAATCTCAGAAAAGGCATCCTTTGTGCTTAGACAGGGCGACTCAGCATCAGAACGGTGACAATCCCCTGTAAGGTAACGGAAGCATTTAGATCCAGTAAAGATGCCCACAGGGTTTTGTGTGGAGCTAGACAAGCTGGCAGTAATGTCCAGCCGGAAACTGGTATTTAACGATATTAGGAAATGACGGTGATGCACAGTAAGACCAGCAACCGGAGACCTACCAGGTATCACAACAACCTCTAAAGCCTCTGGGGCAGAGAGTGGCACTGGCGCATGAAGACTCCTGCAGCCAAGTGGGGGGCAATGCAGCCATCCAGACAAAGGGACAGCGTCAGGCATCGGTGGCCCGGAGAGGGAGAAGAGCTGCAGGCTGAGAGCACAGTGGCCGCGGGCTCTGCTTCTTGGTTGGGTCTAAGCTCAAGGAGCTGAGGGCCCCCTAGCTGACTGTTAAATTTTGCAGGTTTGTACATTCTCATAAACCACACACACACACACACACACACACACACACACACACACACACCCATCTCCAAACTCCGTTTTTATACCCTATTTTCAGGGACACTGAGAGCCCACTGGCTCACTTATGTCTCATATTCGCCTGCTGGCCGTAGTTAAAACCACAGCTAAGTGGACAGAAGAGCTGTGTGCTGTTTCTGTTCCCTGAAACGTGGCCCTGAGCTGATGGACAGCACTGTCTCCAGCGGCACCTGTAAAATGTCACCTGCCGAGTTATTTCCCTATTCTGTGTTGGACCTTACGAGGACGTTAGATTGGTCCTATAAGATGGAAAGAAATGTAAGCTCCCAAGACAAACTGTCCAAAGTCAGAAAGATTCTAAATGACAGCACTGGGTGACATTGAAAGGCAGCCCCCGTGGCTGTAAACTACAAGGCAACATTTATTAATGGTGTGGCTTCTTGCGGAGACCAGACCAGCAGGGCTGCTGGGAGTGCTGCCTGTCCGTCACCCATCCTGCCTTCCCCGAGGTCCAGCCGTAGGAACAGCTAAACGGCCAGGGGAAACCCACCCACCCGGATGGGCAGGCAGGGATAGGAAGGCCGCTGACAGACGCTGCCCCACGTGCGCAGCCCACCTTCTCCAGCCTGAGGCCAGGGCCTCTGTGCCCCTGTGGGCGCCTGGTCAGGATGGAGGCGCCGCTTGTAGCAGTTACCTGCCGTGTATGATGCGTGTTAACTGCGAACCTGAGGACGAGCAGCCAGGAGGGGACGTGTTTCACAGATACAGGAAGGAGGCAGATAGCTGTCTGAGGCCAAGCAGGACGTCTGGGTTTGTCTGCCTTTGGGAAGCAGACCCCTTCTCCTTCAGTCAACGTGAAGCTCTGGCTTGCTGCGTGTCTGGAAGGTCACTTGGAGGACTCTGACCTACCATCCTCGCCCACAAAGCTAAGCCCCTGCCTTCCCAGCTCAGCTGCCATCGCAAAGCACCTGAGACGGGGCGGCTGAAACACGTGTTGATTCTCTCGCGGTCCTGGGGGCTGGGAGTCCCAGATCCAGGTGTCACAGGGCTGGTTCTTCCTCAGGCCCCTCCCCTCGGCGTGTAGACGGCCGTCTCCTCCCCGTGTCCTCACATGGCCGTCCTCTGTGTGAGTCTGTGTCCTCCTCCTATCAGGACACCTGTCCTATTAGATCAGGCCCCCATATGACCTTGTTTTACCCTAATCACCACTTTAAAGGCCCATCTCCAAATACAGAGGCTTTCTGAGGCCCTGGGGGTTAGGATTTGGCAAACAGATTGGGGGGGGGCACAGAATTCAGCCCATAACACCCCCCGAGTTCAGTTTCCAGCAGAGCTGGCCGGACAATATGGAGATCGGGGCACAGAAGTGACTTTGTGTTAAGTGCCACCACTCTCAAAGCTTGCCCCTCTGGGCATGGACACTTGACACTCTTCATTCCTGGTGGCAGAAAGGTCTAGAACCCAGCCAGACGCCACATCTCTGCACAGAACGTGACTCAGCGTGTGCTGCTCTGAACGCACAGGGCAGGACCATCAGAGGGCGCTCGTGTGCTGTGGGGCAGACCCCGTGGCAGCCAGACCCGGGGCCGTGGCACTGTTGTGAAGGGCTCCCCGGGGACTGTGCAGGCACAGCCTGCCACCTCTGAGGCTCTGGGCCCTGATCCGCTCAGAGGCTGGTCGGGAAGTTGACTCACACCAGCCCTGGTAATGGAGAGATCTCAATATGAAGAAGTATTAGGAGCTAGAGCTGAATAGGCCAGAAGCCGGCGTGGGTGCAGCTCCGCCCCAGGACTGAGCACAGACAGGACGCACTGAGGTGACTAAACTCTCCAGGCTCAGAGGAGGAGCCCCGCCAGCTGCCCTGAGCCCCCAGGAGGGGCGTGCTCCAGGGGGGAGTGAGGCCCATGGAAAGGGGGTGCTACCCTAGGGGCTCGGAGGCCTCTGCAGAGCTGGGGTTAAGGCCTCCTAGCGCGGCTGCGGCCGGCTGGTGCTGACCCCTTTAGGGTGTACCAGAGGCTGGGAAAACCAGCCAGCGGGACCCACGGCCACTACTGGCATCACCTGTTGTGCCAGATGAGGCGCCAGGCTTGCCGTGGGGACGTCACGGGCTCCAGAAGCCCCTCTCCATCCTCCAGTCCTGCAGGCGCTCTCTGGTCCCTCGGAGGGCAGAGCCTGCCACCCTGGGAGGAGCTGCCAAGGCCGAATTCTGCGAGTCTCACTCCGGCCGCGCAGAGCAGAGCACCCACCTCGGCCAGTAGCGTGTCCGCAGAGCCAACGGGAATTCCGAGAAGCTGGTTGCGAGGCCTCGGGGAGGAACGCAAGCCTGGCGTTTCCTAGAAGACGGGAAGGCAGCACAGCACACTTGGCCGAAAGTGGCGTGGCTCACGCGGGAGTGGTGCGGTCGGAATCTCAGGCATCTCCCCTTGGCTGGCCCTAGTCGGCAGTCATTTTACTGACACGCTCGCTCTGCAGGCGCAGAACTAACGGGCATGGGAAGTCAGTCCTGGTGACCCCACATACAGCGCTTGCTGAGGCCTCCCTCAGCAGCCTGCCTGATAAGGGGGGTTGTGACAACCTGGCCCAGGAAGAGGGGCTGATGACGCTTGCAGCAGTTACCTGCCGTGTATGATGCACATTAACGGCGAACCTGAGACGCGCAGCCGAGAGGGAACGTGTTTCACAGATGTATGAATTGCACCCTGGACACCCACGCTCAATCATCGTTTTCCTCTTGTAATAGCTCTTGCCGAGTCACTAACAGCTTTTGGTATTGAAACGAAGCAAACTAATAATTCAGTAATGGCCGCTTGTTCCTCCTTGCGGCCGTGTTGCTCTAGGTAACGGAGTGTGTTTCTACAATGTCTGTTTTAAGTGACATCTGGGGAGTGCTAAATGCATGTGGAATGATAACAGTCACGGGGTTTATACGTCTCATGATAAGGTTAATAATAACCTCAGTAGGAGATTGAAATTAATATTAGAACACCTTTCTCCAACAAGATGTACAGAATATCGGGGGCAGGCAGGAGTGTTTGACGCCACAGGGCACAGGTGGGATAGCTTCCCAAAGTTTCACTTTACGGAGAAGTTTGAAGGAAACAAACCTCTTTTTAAAACAATAAGACAAACCCTGAAATTGTGGAGTAGAACGAAAAATTTCACGTGGACTTTCAGATAGAATAGACTTTAACATGTTTACCCTTGATCCTGGAGTCAGCAGGCTTCCCACGTCTGGGCGTGTGGTTCTCTGCTGTGGGGCTCTGAAGAAGCTTGGGGCACTTCCTGTCCTATAACACTAGACTATACGTAGTGGCATTTGGTGGTCTCTCTGCTTTCCAGAAACCGTGGGGAAGGTGACTTAATGGCAAATGGTCTGTATTTTCAAAAAACTTGTGGGTTTAGCACTTCAAGTGATAGAGACAGAGAGAAGAAATATGTAATGATGTTGTATAGTAAACCCTTGAATGAGTTTGCTTCAGGGGCTAAGAAGCCATCAGTCATGGCCTCACAGCTGGGTAACATTTCCTCCCCTGCTCACCGTCTTTGAATAAAGACCACTTTTTTTTTGTTGTTGTTAAAGATTTTTATTGGGGAATTGGGGGATGGGAACAGTGCTGGGGAATTGGGAGAAGGGGAACAGACAAGTTGCTGTCCTTTTGTTCTTCAGTCTAGTTGTGGAGGATGTTGCTTCACTGGCCCAA